CGTTAACATTTCTAGGTTTGTTGACAACCGTTTTTTTGCGCAAGTCATATGACTTAAGAATTGGAAAGCGTAGAAAGTGGAGAAAAAATAGGGTAGGCTTATTATTTTAGAAAACGTGATCATACACAAATTTTGCGTGCTTATTTGTATGTGTATTTGGCGAATAATTAACAGCGGATTGATAGATGGAGCGATAAATGAGTAAAGAAATGGATAAATGTCAAGAATTTTGTAAGGATCTGTGAATACGTGCATCAAAAAATTGAAGAGGCGGAGTCATTTGTTATCAGTCTCAAACTTGCTAATCCTTACTGGCTTTCTGCCTAATATTCACTTCCTTATTCTTATCCACACGTGTCTATCCTTCCATTCTTCCTACTATACACGTCTAACTACATTCACACTAATTGATCATCGAAGACAAGGAATTACCATAAGTCAAAGGCTGCAAACAGAGTAAAATGCATCTTTAATATACAACTATTAACTTTCAGATGAAACTCCGTCCTTAAGCATGATAGTTCTAGATGGGCGAATACCTCATTCCTGATGTGTAATATTTACTTAATTTTTACCTACCTTCCTATAGTGATGTTACCCCGACATTACTTTTCACTTCAAAACTTTTACAACTACTTTTTTTGATACACTCATAACTTTCCCCACGGAGAAAATTTTGGCAAATTAAGAATTCCGTACGAAAATGCGGAGCTGCAGTATTACTGAACGCAAACTTTACAATTAGGGAGGAGTTTCGTCACTTGCCTTAAAACTCTAAATGATGGCTTTGATAAGGCTTTTTTATGATATCCTTCTCAATTTTGCCAGAATTTACCCTAAGAGTGGATGCCGCAGTATTGTTCTATAACGGCACACTTGTCAAATTCGCTAAAGCTAATGCGTCATACGCTACTTATTTAAAGAACTTTATAGGGGTTCGGTCGCCATTGGGAAACTTCGTTATACTTCCTTTCCAGTTTAGATTTCTAAATGAGTTGTAGATGACGGGGAAAAATTAAGGATCCTCCTAAAAATTTGCATAACTGTAAATTTGCTACTTGCCTACCTATCAACTAACTCTAAGTTATTTCCTTGATGTCCCCGTATACCTAGGCAAAAAGTATATCTAGATTCTATTAGTAATTTGTTTTCTGACTGGTTAGGTTAAGCCAAAAGCAGTCGATTGACTGAAGCACTAAATAGGGGAGCATGAAAGTGATGATAAAGGGTGCTGGAAAAGTCGCTTAATGAAGGTAATGATGTCGCATGAAACAGGGTGCGTACCTCCTTCTATCCGCTGCGGTGATTAATTCGATGTAGACTCAGCGGCAGTGAAGATAACAATTAAAATTGTCATATCCGTTGTTCTTTGCGACTGTGGTAGATCTCTTTCACGTGTTTTTAAACTCATAGTGTTTTTTGTAGGATAAGCAAACGTTCTATTAAGCCAACCCTTGTAAGTGATGAGCAACGTGTTCCTATGGAAAGGCAACACTGTTTTAATAAAATCCGGCTTAAGCGGAATTGGCATTTCAACCACGCAATGAGCCCAGTGACATCGGATTTTATAATGGTCACTGAATAAATGATGATTATGGGAATAAAGTTTTTCTAGGCATCATCGAGTGCTTCGTGTCAGGCGGCTCATATGCCCCAGTCTAAGTATTAGCTGACGCAAAGGCAGCTGCCATCTGCCAATCAAATATCACTAGTAACGAATGTGGTGGCGGAAACATGATCAATGATGGATGTGCCTTGGGTCCGAGGTCAGTAAACTCCCAGGGCAATGGTTCTGGCTTAAATGACGCGAATGGCTAAATAGGAAGCTGGTATCAAGCGTTACCCGCATAGATTACCCATTACTTTGCTCACTTGCGGATAAGCATTGGTTTAAAATGATAAATTATGATGCAGTGGCTCACTATTGTTGTAGTGAGAAGCATGGCTCGAGCGTAACTATGTATCATGAGTTAGTGCATTATTTTTTTCCCGGGTTAAGTTGAGATAGCAGGATGTAGCTCAATACATTCAAAAGTAGCAGCAGGAGTAGAGACTTTAGAAAATTAGAGTGAACTCTAGAAGCACATTCGCTTAGCCAGTTTGCATGAATGAACCATCTGAACAATCACGTCTAAATATCAACAAAATAATCCCGAAATAGCTTTCAGTTCAACAAAAAGTGCACCTTTTATTACTACCACTCATTTTCGCCTTCTGCTGTGTCATCCACAGACTTTCACAGTTGAAAATACCCTAGTACACCGGTGTGCACACGCATGTATTTTGTTTCAACAAGCAGAACCTAGAAATTTTGAAATGCCTGCAACAACTAAACACATTGCTTGACACAGAAGCCTTTAGAAAAATAAAGCTTACACCACTGACGAACGCAGTCTTTTGCCCAATTTAACAAAGGTGCGGTTAGAGGCTTTTTATCTGATGGTTGAAACGTACAAATTAGCTTAGACAGTAGGCAAATTCATCTTAGCCTAGCATGGGTTTATCAAAAGTAGTCAAACATTCATTTCACCTTAATTTCTTGACAATCGGTCTTTCAGCCCAACTGATTTGTAATCTTTGTTTCTCACTTTTTTAAAGCAATTTTGCCTTATAAACTCTGTCGTTCAGACTCTAAAACAATCGTTTTCGGAACTCTAAATAGAGTTTATGGATAGTGCAAAATGTCACATTTTTTATAAACAAGATATAATTAGTAACAGATGCAGGGTGTTTCGCAACTCCAAAATGGAAAGTGTCATCTGTCTTTGGCTGTCAGCATCCATCCTGTACCTGCCGTTTATAATTCTTCGTTTATTGCAGTAGAACATAAAGTCTTTAAAAAGTTTTGGTTGTAAAATATATTTTAGTTTTGAAGCGACCTATATTTAGTAGGTTGAGGTACACACAAATGAGCCAAATTTACCGTGATTAAATGCTCCTACTTCCATGTTATAATAAAAACCCGTTATTTGCACTAAAGTGGTCAGTATGAAATCAAATTAACGTTTGTTTTGAAAGCGTAAAACAATTTTTTAGCATTTAAAATGAAACAAATTACAGCCTGTTATCTCACAATATTATGGAAGAAGTGAATTGGCGCCAATCGTCAACTAGCGAATAGAAAATGATAAATGCAACTGAGTGGGAAGTTGGATCCTCAACTGGATATTTTTAAGCCTGATTAATGAAATATGTCAAAACATGAGTACTGGCTGCATTTTCGATCAAGAGAGTCATTTTACGCGTCAGTGTCATGTGGGCTATTATGCGTGGCCGAAAATCAGGTATGAATTGTTTGCAATAGTAAACAAGACCTAATGATTCAGTGCTAGCATATTTAGTAGTGCTTCAAGGATTTTCATTTAAGGGCAGTATTTAGGTGAATTACCTGGCCATGTCCATGTGTTAGTAGAGCATTGATTCGGCAAGCGTGCCTTTTTAAGTAACAGAACAACTCTGTTATTCAAGCATAGTGAAGAAAAAGAAAAATTCAAAGAAAACCAGCTACCTACTACCTTCATAATTTTGCACGAGTTCCAGGAATATAAGCATTTAATAAAGTTATTAGCTTTAAGTGTTATTATTTAAAATATGAATATTGTTAAAGCGGCGTTGTAAAGCAAAATTTACAGAGCAAATGTGTCACTGTTCTATTGATGTAAAGATGGACTACCGACGCTGAATACTGTCGATTGAGAACATGACCTTCACAATGAGCCCAACACCCTTCAGATACGACAGGTCGGTACCCGAGATGATCTGCTACCGAAGGGCAGGAAAC